CAAGATTATTTTTCAAGTAGCTTCTCCAAGTATAATACCTTAGCTTCTAGAAAAAGTAATTGCTGCAAACATTTGAAAAGTCGAAATTCTATGCAAGGACCCAGGAGATTAACACAATTGAACATAATAGCTCCTTCCAAACCACTTCCTAGGGACCAGGCCACACAAAGGCCTTGAGATAGCTTTCCAAATATGTTTTATTTATTCAATGAAGAAAAAGCTATTGCAACTTCTTGTATTCCTTTCCCACAGAAATGCTTCACTGAGCTTTAAGGACAGCATTCGTCTGTAGGTGCAAAATGAGTAATTCCTCGGCTTCCAAAAAACGTAAGCGTTGCAAATATCTGAAATGTTAGAATGTTATGCAAAGGTCTTTTGTAAAGATACAGACAAAGGCCTTGAAATAAATATCACTTCAAACTGGTGTCAGAATTTCTGTTTAAAAAATTAATACATACTCATGTGCTCATGGATGCATGGAGCATCTCTGAAGGGCAACAGTGGCTGTCTCTACAGAGATAACCATGGGAGGGAGTCTTTCTGTTCGGAGTGCTTCCCTTCTGTGCTTTATATTTTGTACTATGTGCATGTGTTAGTATTAACCTAGCTTACCTAAACAATTAATTTAATGCAACATGGTCTCTTCAATAGGCAAGCCAACTCATGCATCCCAGTCAAGGTGGACAATCTTTCTCTCCAATCAGCACTGGAAACTGATCTTCTCCCAAGCCTGGACCTCAGGTATAATGTAGAGCAGAGAAGTCCCTGCCTTCTTTCCACACTGAGCATCAGCTGTGCTGGCACTCACATTGTAAGTGATACAATGAAGGTAAGATGCTATTGTCTGGCTGTCCCCACAGAGTGGCTGGCCCCCGTCGCTATGCTCCAGTCTTACCCAGCATTCTCCCAGCCCCAGAGAGATACACTGCTTTTCAGATGTATCACTCTGATCTTTTTCTTGTTATTCCCATCTCTCCACCTTTGTGATTAAATGTTTTTATTTTTTTAGAGGGCCTAGTATGCCCTGTCTTCTTCAGTAACCCCACCATGACAAAGGGAGAAGATTTAAGCCTCTCTTCCTCTGAGCCCTGGAATACCAATGGAACACACTGAAGTCACTAGCTGTGTGACTTAGGCAAGTTACTTAACCTCTCTGAGCCTCAATTTTTCATTCTTGAAATGGTGGTGGTCCTTATATCTTCAGAGGAATGCAAGAGAGATTGAACTTAGTTATATAAAATGCCTAGTATAATATCCAACACATAGCAGGTATGCAATAAATATGAGGTGACATCATCATCATCAGTAGTAGTAAGTGGTTCTCACTGTCAAAGGATGATGCTTTCAAACTTCCTAGGCACACACATTCCAGCTTAGAACCTGCTTGCAAGCAGTATGCAAAAGCCGAAAGGGGGTTTTAGAGTCAAAGAGGCTTACCCTGAGCCAAGCCTGAACATCAGTTTCTTCAACTACAAGGTGTGGATAAGCATGCCATCCTCACTGCATCGGGGCAAAGATTTCCATTAATGTATAACAAGCACCTGGCCCATAAGAGCTCTCTTTATCTTGGCCATTTTCACTACTCCAAGGGGGCTTCTCTGGTCGCTGGCCCCAAAATGTGTTTCTCTCTTCGGCTCCACATCTTTGCTCAGCCTGCTTGTCCCTGCCTGCCCTGTCCCAGTACCATATCCATCTCCAGAAACTTCCATGCATCTTTCTAGTCTCCATTCCACCTGAGAGCTTTTGTGAAGCTTTCTTTGACCACAATGGCTTTTCCAATCTCTGAACTCATAAAGTATTTATCCCCTGTGAGGAAACAGGAGGTTGAAACCGAGAGGATTCCAAGATCTTTCCTCTGTGGCCATTGTTAGGTCTACCAGAAACTAAGAAGTCAGGCAATAATATGCAGAAAGAACTCCAGCCACGTGTGGCCAAACAGCAGGTTCCCAGTGGACTCCCCTCCAGCTCACTGGACTATGACCTCTCTGTCATCTAGGAGGGGTCGCTTGCCCTTCCAAAAGTCAACCCCCTGATGTCTTATTCAGGAGTGTCTCATAACAGAAAATGGTCACTTGGTTCATTGATAGATTGAGGCACACTGGGGCTTCTAGCATGTGGACAGGCTGGGAAGCCACTGGACACATCAGCTGACAGCCACAGGAGCGGCTACTGTTTCCATCCCCCCGTGGCCTGACTCCAACTGTTCCTACATCCATTCGGTACAAATCAGATTGAGCCACTCCTTTCTATAAACGCCGGATGGTTTGAGCGGTGCTGCTAGAGGATACAGCCATCTCCTTAGCATGTCTTCCAGGACTCTTCACAATCTGACCCCAACTCCCTTTTGAGGCTTTTCTGTGGTGGTCACCTCCTGCCTTTTGCTGTGCCCAAGCCCACTGTAATCTCCTTTGCCTCCTAGTCTCCCCTCTACTTAGAATGTCCTTTTTCATCTTTACCCAATGAATCCTACTCATGCTTTAAAACCCAGGTCAGATGTTGCCCGCTGTGAAGAAGCCTGCCAACCTCTCGCAGGCAGAGTTCATTCTCCAGTTCTGTCGCCAGCCTCCTATTGCTGAGCTCCTCACACAGGATGCCAGCTGCTTGCTCCTCACTCCTGCACAAGACCATAAACATTATGAGGTCAAGGGTGATTTTACAGCCCCTGTACCTACCCAGCCTGGTACCTGATAATCAATACATTTTACTTAATAAATTGATTAAAGAAAACATAAATTAATGCATGAATCAGGCTGCCTCTCACAAAAGATCCCAGCTTTCCAAACCTCCCCATCCATGTGGGGAAGTTGCTCATGGTTGGTAAGGGACTACATGTGTCAACAGAGCCGTGTATGCAAAAGGTGGGCACTCATGGGGGTGGGAGAGGAAAGTACTGTGTCCAAAATAACAACTCCCCTAGAAAACATTATGTCAGAGGAGTCTTTCATTTCTGTATTTCTTGTTTTCACCCTCCTATTTTCTTGTACAGATCTGATTTGGTGATAAAATATATATATATATAAGATATATATATATCCTAATTAGTTTTTAATGTACTAAGTAGCTATAATCCCAGGTGTGAAAAGTCCCATGTCCAACAGCTGCAGTCGCTCTTTGAAGCAACATCCCCTGGACTGTTCCCTCTGGTAATTACTGAGCAATCCATTTTCACCTCCAGCCTGGCATCTGTGGCAAGGATTCCTGCCTGCCTGTTCCTTTCCTGGCTAATTTAGTTCCTTTACATCACATGACTTCCAATGACCCACATGCAATATGGGAATCCCCACGTAGGACTTTCCTTAGATGGTTCAGAGAGACATGCTAAACATAAGTAATAGACCAATTTTTAAATCATAGGACCCAGGAAGGCCTGCAATGCTGTTTTATAAAGGGAACCGAAGAGCTTCTTGATCTTTGCCACTTCCTGTAGGAAAATGCCTCATCAAGTACATCCTTTCCTATGCGTTTGTAGTGGGACATGCATGGGGTCAGAAACATACATTAAAAACTTGCCCTAGCTGTTTTTTATTGGATGGGGAAGGCTGGGAAAGAGGGTGTCATATTTATTAACTGCTTAATGCAGGCCAGGAGCTGGGCCAAGGCCTTTACATGCCTTGTTTAACCTTCCCCCAACCCCTGCTAGGTTCTTATTCTGGTTCTGCAGAAGAGGAGCCTGACTCACAGAGATGTTACCTTACCCAAGGTCATATGGCTCATGGGTGCCAGAGCAAGCTTTGGAAGTCAAGTCTGTTGGTTCAGAGCGTGAAGTTGTAACCATTGCCCTAGGCTTGTTTCCTGACTTCTTGTTCAAGAAGAGTTTTCCCAACATGTGTAATTCCTAGACAGCTCTCGTAAGATCTTACTCCTTTTGACATTTTATACTATATTCATTTGATCTTCTCTTTTTTAAAAAAAAAAAATATATATATAATATTTATTTTAAAAATGTGAGTCAAGTATTCATCATGTATAGAAGTATAGACCTTTTCTAAAACTTTTTAAATAATGAAATGCCCCATGGAGAAAAGATTATTTTTGTCCTCTTAACCCACACTTTTTAGATTTTTGTGTAAAATGTCTTCAGTGGGTACAAAATGACCAATTCCCTCTGTCATTGGAAACATACAGTTTCATTCTGTGTGTTGCTGTCCATAAGCAGACAGATGTATTTCACAGGGGAGCTCATTTTGTCCTCAAGCATTTATTTATCTAGCATACCCTCTGATGAGACAGTTGCTGGGCAGTACATAAAAACAGGGAGGAAGAAGGCGTGGCCTGACTCTGCAGGAGCTTACAGACCAGGGGCTCACCCTTGGAGGAGTTCATAGCCCACAGACAGACCATAACATCAGTTCCACCAAAGCCAATAAGGCAAGAAGTTCAGGAGAGAAGGAAATCACGACCAACTTGGAAAATATCAACTTGCTTTGTTGGAAAAAGGCTCTTGAAGGCCAATTTTTCATCTCCAGCTTCTTTCATTAGTGTTTATTGACTGGCATTGAGAGAGCCAAGCCAAGGGTAAACCTAGGGTGGAAGAAGCCACAAGCTAACTGCAAAGGACAGAGATAAAGAACCATGTGGCTTGCCTCTGAGCACCAACAGCCTGACTGAAAATGGGTTAATTTTATTTCCAATGGATATTTAAACAGGCCACATATGAATATGCTAAAACAAACTGAAGGTCAAGCAATACAAAGTATTAGGCTGTGAGCTTCCTTTCCACCTTCAGAGGCAGCCTCTTACCTGGTTCTTGGGCTCCTTCAAAAGAGGGTTCTATGCATTATAATGGACAAGACTTACAATGCCTTCAGCTTCTAGGCTTCTCGGGACTAAGTTAGGTGGCTGGTCCCCAAAGCCTGGCCCAGGGATGAGTCGGAGAAGTGGGGAATGCAGAGTTAAATCAGAGAGAACTGCTCCAGACCTGGTGATCTTAGAGGCATGCCCTGTTGGCCACCTGCTGTGTGCTGGGACTGCTGGGCAGTGGACCTAGGAGGGGGAGCCAGAACTGCACTAGATACTACCCATCTTTTGGAGAGGAACAAAGTATGTAGTGAGCATAGGAGACAGATGAGAGATTCTGGAAAATCCAAGGAGGTTTTAAGTACTCACAAGGTAGGCTGGGCCAGCCAATGGTTAGGCCTTCCCTGCTGGGGAGCTGGGGAGGGTGCTACCACGTGGGGCCTAGAGCAGTGCCTCCGCGGTGAGGAGAGCAGCTTTTAAATGTCTGCCTTACTAAAACTACTCTTTCTGCATCGCAGAAGTACCCAGCTGGGGTGTATCCTCCAGGACAACAAATCTAGTTATTTGTCTCCCTGTTCGGTGATATATTTCTAAAGCAATGAATGGTCCATTAAACTAAGTTTGGGCCTCTGTCTATCCACAGCCATCTCCTCACATGCACCCCTCAGCGGGAGCCTGTTGACGTGGGCTGCAGCCTTTCAGCCTCAATTCCCCTCCCTCCACCACCTCCCCTATTCTTCTCCCTCTCCCAGCCCACCCCCGGTTATTTGGGAGATTAGAGTTCATTAATTAAATCCTGTGCTTAGATCGAACTGTAACATTATTCCAATCACATTTATCTTGCAGGCGGCAGAGGAGATGGCAGCCTCGCTGGAAACGCGCGGGGGAGCTTGAGCCCGCAGCCGGAGACGCACAGCGCTGCGCACTCCATCTCGGCGCCGCAGCGCAGACCCTCCATCTTCCTGCTCAGCCTCCCGGCCCGCTGGCCCCAGCCTTCGGGGTCCCACCTCCCTCTGGGGCCCCAGCCTGCCCCCACATCTCCCTGTGCCTCCGTGGCTCCCTGGCCTGGTGCCCTCCCCCGCCACACACGCTGACGCGCTCGCGAACACACACGCACTCAAACACTCTGACACGCCAGCGAGCTGCTGGCTGCTCAATGGACCGATTTCCTCGCTGTTCCTGATTCCAGCCCAGCCCGGAATGAGAAATTGCAAAATGGCCCGGGTCGCCAGTGTGCTGGGGCTGGTCATGCTCAGTGTTGCCCTGCTGATTTTATCACTCATCAGCTACGTGTCCCTGAAAAAGGAGAATATCTTCACCACTTCCAAGTACGCCAGCCCGGGGGCGCCCCGAATGTACATGCTGCACGCGGGATTCCGGTGAGTGCGGGCCTCTGAGCGCCCTCGGGCATCTGGGGGAGGGGGAGGGTGATCAGAGGCGGGGGTGTTTGGGGTTTTTCTAGATACTTTGGACAAGATAAACTGCGTGGTCTTTCCACTCCTCTTTCCCATTCTCCATTTCTCCTCCCTCTTTTTTTTAAACCCAAAGCCCCTAAACTCTTGTTGTACTAATTGATGTGATTGCATTTCTCGTATTCTTCCTCAGCACCCCCTCCCCCATTTCCAAAATGGGAGTAGGGTTTATGGAGAATGATGATGGAGAGAGGCAATGTGTGTTTGAGGGGGGGCGGTGAACCAGGAGATAAACGTGCCTGAGGTGAGCGCCTTCCCTGGGCCCTGTCTGGGGACTCCGAGGCTGGGCTCTGGGCGGTCCAGAGGCGATTTAATGGCGCAGGCGCCGCACTCCCCATGCAACCTCCTGCACTCCCCTCACTCACTCCCCATATACCATAAAATGTTGTGCGGGTCTATTCTTACCAAGCCCCTGGGGTATTCTACCTCCATCCTTTCACCCAGGCTGCCAACCCTACACCACCACCACCCCCCCTTTCCCAGGATTTCTGCATTTTCCCCCGCCCTCCTAAGGGCCTCCTATCGTGGCCCAGGTCTAAGCCACAGCCAGGGAGCAGGCTCCAGGCGCAGTTAGGCAGAGCTAATGAGGAGCCCCTGCCCCTACCTTTGACCCCCCTAGGAGCTCTTACAGCAAGACCTCCTGATGGGTGGGTGGCAAATACAAGCTTAGATTCTGTGGTCCAAGCTGCGCCAGACGCCCCATCTGGGCAGAAGAGCAGAGTTGGGCGGTAGCTTCCAGGGGTCCCCAGTCTGAAGACAGGGAATGAAATCAGACCTAAGCTCGGGAAGGAAGAGGTTAAGGCAGAAGCCACCCCCAGCCTTTCCCTAAGTCTCCCGTTTCCTCTGCCCTTTCTTCAAAAATCAATTCACCCAGGCACCAAGCGCAGGCCGCTGTCCGCGGTGCTGACTCCCTGATCCTCACGGCGCATCAGGCTCCAGCACCGTGCCTGCTCCAGCCCCTGCTCTCCGCGAGACGGCCATTTTATGGTCTCTCCTGCACCCGGAGGGATGGACAATGGAGACAGATTTCCTTAGTTTTTTTTCCCTTGCTCCTGGGTGTGTGGGGGAGCTGAGGGTGAACCACATGAGAAGGGGCTCTGGGGTGGGATGGAGCCTGTGCCTGTGCCAGCTGCCCCGCCCCCAGCCGGCTGGACTTTAATGGCTACCTTGGCTTCCTCCCAGCTGAGGCCAGCATGTTTGTCTGTGTACTCATACTCCTCTCCAGGTCACAATTTGCGCTGAAGTTTCTAAATCCGTCATTTGTGCCCATTACGAATTCTCTGACCCACGAACTCCAAGAGAAACCTTCTAAATGGACATTTAATCGGACCGCGTTTTTACATCAAAGGTAGGATGGGGGAAAAGGTCTGGAGCTCAAAAAGGGAAACAAAACAAAATAATCAAAAACAACAAAATTCTGTCCCCCACCCTGAGATGTATTTGCATTGTCTTCTTGGCCTGACTGTACAAAGGTTGATTGGTAACCCTAATTTATGTATGCAGTACCCTCTCATAAAAAGAAAACATTAGGAAGACCAATTTGAATGGAAGAAAAAAGATATGTTCAGTACGGTCCCTAGCTTGGACTTAGTTGAGCACCATGATTTCTAGTTAACATGCATGGCTAATACTGCCAAAGCCATCTACTAAAAAAAAAAAAGTTAATTGTAAAAAGACTACCTAATTCATTTTCATTCCCCTACTGAAAAAAAAAGAAGTAATAAGATAGTATTGTCTCACTGAAACACAGAAAATGCTATAATCCATCCCTGTCAAATTACTAGTGAAAATCTTGGCCCCAATATATGCAGGCATTTAAGTATGCAGGTATTTGTTTTCATTAAACCTTGACAGTTTTTAATATATTGTAAAAGCTACCCAACATCATTCTTATTAGTTGTGTTACAGCAGCCTCCTTAAAGATGAAGAAGTTGATTGGGGTGGGGAGGTAGCAGTTGAGGTTTGGGTTTTAGGTTGTTTTTGTTTTTGAGGTGGGGAAGAAGAATTAGATTTATTCAAATTTATTTATTCTCCTCAGGGTTTCTGATCTACTTTTAGAAACCCCAGATATGTCATTACTCCTCTCTTCCTGGTGGGATTATTATGCTGCTAAATGGAATGTAGGCCATCTAGTGTATTCATTTGGGGTGTGAAAACTTATTTGAATATTTATTCTACCAGTCTATTTAGGGGATTGTATTTGGTCATAGCATTTCTCTCTTTTTTATTTTAATTTAATGACAAGATTAAAGCAAATTTAGTAGTTATCCACAGTGTAATGAAATGCTATTTACTTAAAAAGTTTACATACTTTTTTATATAATCATGAGATCATGATTAAAACTTTTAAAATACTGTTTAATTAGAAATTCATCTATGACAATAATTGATTCATTCTAAAACGCAGGAAGTGCCTTTTTTAACTATTGGGTTTTTAATCCAATATTAATTTTATAGAAAACTTTAATGGATAGAACACATTGTACCTTTTCCCAAAACATATTTCTAATTCAATAAAAATATTCTTCCCACATTAGCCCATGTGACCCAAATGACCAGCCAGAACAATACTTTTTTCTTAAAACTTCCCTCCTTTCAATCCAGGTATTAGGTAATCTTCAATTAACTTCCCCAGCATCATTTTAAACTTACTGTTACCTTTATAACAGCTTGTAAATAACAGTATTGGAAACTTTGGAAGTTTTGTATTAAAGCTTTCAGTTTATGCTGTTTTGTACTTTGAAAAATGAAGTAATTTTTTGTGTGCTTATATGTGTTGAGTGATGATACAGATGTATTCATTCTGACAAGAAAAGAATTCCACAAATTATTTAGGGAAAAATCAAGTTGTGCAACAATTTGTATAATATGACCGCATATTCAAGTTTGTATATGGACTTGTACAAATACGTAGATATTCATATTGTACTTATATGTACATAAAGTTCTAGGTAAAGTGATGATACACAAAGCATTTAGCTTCAATCCTATTATTTTTAATTCAAAAGACACAAATTTCAATGTAATTTCTTAGAATTGGAGAATCTAGTAGCAAAGTAACAAATTACTGGTCTTAAATATTTTAAAATAGCTGAGACTTAAAGAGATGCTCAATTTTACCTAAAGCTCAACATGAAAGCAACCCGAAATTAAGTACTAAGTATCATCCTTGCCTTGTTTATTCTCTGAATTCATAGAATATACGCACTGTTTCAGGATATAAAATAGCCTCTTTTTCTGAGGATTAGGTATCTCCAACTGTATTTCCATAATCAAGTAGAAAAATATTCCTGTTTCATTATTCAAAGGACCTTAATGAGATTATCATCTCATTTCTATTAAATATTCAACTACACCCACTGCCATTACCATTTTCATATTTTAATAATAGATAGTACTACACTGACTCATATCTATTTGGCTCTTATTTAGATACCGGTGATATTTGATATTCCTTGAACAGTGCAGTCCAATAGCAAACAAGTAGTCCCTGACTACAAACTCTAAGTCACCAATGTTTGTACATTAATGTGAACTCTGTGGGGCCTGTGTAAATAGTCTCGCTGTATTTTCTGACACAGTTTGGCCTGTGTCTTCCCCTTAATCAAATACACTCTTCATGTAGACCAAAAACCAAAGGATGGCAGCTAAAACTGTAAGGTACAACACTTACAAGCCTCAAAGGATGACATCCACAACTTGGCTGAGAGATGAACACGTCTGTAGATTCTGAAACAATCTCCCCTCAAAGACCGCAATTATTATGAATGTATAATCTTTCTTGGATTCAATGTACCTATGATTTTTGTCTTAATGAAATGGCAGCATAAGACATAAGATGGAAAATCAATTTTGAATGGGATGCATTTAATGAATTTCTTTTTATTTTAGGCAAGAAATTCTTCAGCATGTCGATGTAATAAAAAATTTTTCTTTGACCAAGAATAGTGTTCGGATCGGACAACTGATGCACTATGATTATTCCAACCATAAATATGTTTTCTCTATTAGCAATAACTTCCGGTCACTGCTTCCAGATGTGTCTCCCATTGTGAATAAGCATTATAATATCTGTGCTGTGGTTGGAAATAGTGGGATCCTGACAGGGAGCCGGTGTGGACAAGAAATAGATAAGTCAGATTTTGTTTTCCGTTGCAATTTCGCCCCTACGGAGGCTTTCCAAAGAGATGTTGGAAGGAAAACCAACCTTACTACCTTCAACCCCAGCATCCTGGAAAAATATTACAACAATCTTTTGACCATTCAGGACCGTAACAACTTTTTCCTCAGTTTAAAAAAGCTCGATGGGGCCATTCTTTGGATCCCTGCATTTTTCTTCCACACGTCAGCAACTGTTACCAGGACATTAGTTGACTTTTTTGTTGAACACAGAGGTCAGTTAAAGGTCCAATTGGCTTGGCCTGGGAATATAATGCAACATGTCAACAGGTGTGTATATTTTATTGCCTTTTAACTCATACCCCACCAGATGGCAAATCGATATTGTAATCTCCGGGGGGTGGGAGCTATTCCATTAGTTAGTTGTTGTGGTTAGCTTAGTACTTTAGGGCAAAATCCTATGTTTTTTAATGACTGAAAGAACCATTCTAGGTAAGAAGTTCAATCTCTTACCCCTAGTTGGTCACCAAGTGTCAAATGGGGGAACTGGTGGTTCATCGGCCTCCTCTCTCCATTCTCTGTCCTCTACCTTAGGCAGAAACTTCACGAGCAGTCATGGAAACCACCACAAATCAGCAATTTTCTTTAAATGGGTAGCTATGTCCCAACAATGCCAACTGCTAAGTTAGACAAATTAAGCATTTTTTAAAAGATGCAACTGACTTAAAATGTTATTTTTTATTTGATATTTGGGTGTTTTATAGATGTCCCAAATTAGACAAACACCTAGATAAATCATAAATGGCATAATCTGCCTTTGCAATTTGGGGTTTAATGCCAAAACATGTGAACAGTATTTTATGAGCTCACTGTTATCCCTTATTCTCTGATGGACAGATTGACCAGAAATGCAACATTTTGCCTACTCCAACGAGTCTTATCTCTGACTGTACATTAGAGTAACTTGGATGACTTTAAAAATACTGTTACCTGGGCTCTACTTCAAGAGAGTCTAATGTAATTGGTCTGGTGGAGGAGGAGGGTAGGGACAGGTACTTGGTATGTCTTAATAACTCCCCAGACGATTCTAATATGCAGTCAGAATTATAAACCATGAATCTAGGAGCATTTTGTAAAGCAAGATTAATGGTAGGATTTTTTTTTTCTTTAAATCACCTGAGGAAATTCCCTCAACCCTAATTTTCCCGATGTAAGTAACCCACATGTCCTAACATACTGTCCAGATATTACTGCAAGTTACAGTGGGTTCTGGGAGGCCTCATAAAAACAGGGAATTCAAAGGTTTTTATGTCATAGAAGATTTTCCCCAGGCTGTTGGCCTCGAAAGCAGTGGTTTTCAACCTTCCTAATGCGTGACCCTTTAATACAGCTCCTCATGTTGTGGTGACCCCCAAACATGAAATTATTTTTGTTGCTACTTCATAACTGTAATTTTGCTTCCTTTATGTCTTAGGCAACCCCTGTGAAAGGGTCATTTGACCCCCAAAGGGGTCGCGACCCACAGGTTGAGAACCGCTGCTCTAAAGTCTAACAAATTTAAGAGCTGTTTAGTTGACCGCTCATAGAAGGAAGAATCGTTGTGTCATAAACTGGTATATATCTAACAGATAGGGTGACACCATCGTTTATAGTCCAAACTGAAACTTTTTCTTTGAGAAAAAAAGACGTTATTAATAATGACAAGGAGGATAACAGACAAAAACTGGGACTGTCCCAGTATCCCAGGTTGTATGGTTATCTTTTAAACAGGTAAGGTAGCCCAACTCCTAAGTTGAAAGATGAATTAACTAAGGTACAAAGAACAGGAGTTATTTACCCAATGTCACTGTCCAAAAAAGGAGGCAGACCCAGAATGAGAAGCCGGGCTGCTCCTGTGACCTTTTGACCTCATCAGTTTACCCCCCTCCTGCTCTGTTTAAATTCAGCTGTACCAAAAGAATTGTCACTAGTCATTCCAGCTCCATGAGTTGGAATATTAAAACCAAGATGGACCAGTTACATTTCCACTAGAATGGGAAAGGATTATCTTTAAAGCCTTCACGTAGTGAAGAAGGAACTGTATGTGCTCAGAAACTTCAGGAAGCTGGCCTTTGAGGCCTACCCTGCCCCCAACCCTTCAGAAGGACCAGAGAATTCGGCATAGTGTCCCATAGCCGCTCAGGCTTTGACCAAGTGCACTAGTTCAATGAAAACGTGAAGGAAATACAGTCCATGGAAAACTGATTCACAGACAGTTCAATTCTGCCTACACAGCCAATGATATAAACACACACACACATCACAGCAGTCTCAAATATTTGGCAATGTAGGAGGGAAGGCTTCAAAATACTATCTAAATATGAACGGAACAACCACCATAATTTAGCTTTTTTTTTTTTTTTAATTCGGAAAGTGTACAAATACTTTTCTTAGGTCCTGACATGCTAAAGAAGGAGTTGGGAAGCCCTAATTAGAAGACAAAGAAGCAGGGAATATGATTTTTTACAAGAGGGTATTAAAAAAGGTTCCACAATCTTTCCAAACCCCAGGAGAAAGATTTACTCTCAAGGTTTGGGTAAGGAAGTGACACAGGGTACCCCTTTATAAACAACACCCTCCCCACTCCCATCGTCCCCTTGTGTAGGAGAAGCATAGCTGTGCCTCGGTGGTGTCACCCCTGCGCCAGATCTAACACCCCCTAGGGCAACCCACAGGCAGGGCAGGCTTCAAACACGTGCACCCTATCATTCACACAGAAGCTGATCTCGGAAGGGCACCGCCCTTAGTTTAATAATCTGCTACCGCCCTCTTGAAATTCTCAATAATTTTTTAAATGAGGACTGACATTTCCATTTTGCACTTGGTCTCACAACTTAGGCAGCTGGTCCTGCCCAGAGGTTTCTTGTGGTCTAAAGGATAGATTCAGTTTAACAATAACCCACCACCTGTACTGTCTTAGGAGCTTGGACAAACTGACCTCCCAGCCCAGTCAAATGACCTCTCTGACTGAAACCTTCAACACTGGCCTCTGAATCCACCTATACTTATTGTTCCACAGGTACTGGAAAAACAAACATTTGTCGCCCAAACGGCTGAGCACAGGTATTCTCATGTACACCCTTGCATCAGCAATATGTGAAGAGATCCACTTGTATGGATTTTGGCCTTTTGGATTTGACCCCAACACAAGGGAAGATCTTCCATACCATTACTATGACAAAAAAGGAACCAAATTTACCACCAAGTGGCAGGAGTCCCACCAGCTGCCTGCTGAGTTTCAGCTGCTGTACCGAATGCACGGGGGAGGGCTCACCAGGCTGACTCTGTCACACTGTGCCTAAGAACTCTGAACAGGAAGTGCCAAACGGCGGTTTAACAAGTGCCCCGAATCAGATTGAATAGTCGTCCGAATAGAACCCTAGAGAATTTCTTATAAGGATCGTCTGCCATTTCAAAGGAAAGATGTCCTCTCTCCCTCTTTTGCACTGCTCTTTTAAGGGTCTTAGCAGGACAGATGCATTGAAGCCACATGATTAAAACTTGATTGATAAAGGGAATGTTGCATTTGGAACCATGCTGCTAACGAAATGGTCTGAAGTATTTTCGTGTTTGTATTTTAATAATAAACTGCCTCCCACTTTTATGAGGACTGGAGCTGGAGTTCCTGCAGCTTTGCTCAGATCGAGTCCTCATAATGAGAAGCCTCTGGTCTGCATGGGCAGGGTTTCATTTTCTCCCGTGTCAGATCAGACTCTTCAAAACGGAGACATAAAAAATTGGTCTGCAGATCTCATCTCTCCTTCTCTATCCCTCTCCCCCTCTCTCCCTCTCTCTCTGTGTCTCTCCCTACAACCACTCCTCCTTCCCCCGCCACCATGAGTTTAATAATTTGCTAGGAACCATAGTGAATTAGCTTTGCTTGTATGTGTTGCATCCGTATTTGATGTGTTCAAGGCTCTGGGTAACTGACGATTCATGACAAACAGCAAATCCTGATGGATCTCCTTGTGCTTACTTTTATAAGAAATGTCTCTAATGAAGTCCTCGCTAGTCCAGACAGTGGCCTACAGCACAGCAGTCCCTCTGTGATGAGTGGCATATGGCACAGTGCACTTCCACTATCACAAAGAAAGCCTATGTCGTGGGTGGCACCGCCACTTGACAGGAGTGCTCTCATGGCAAGTCACTCTGTTGCCACCTCGGCAAGGGCATTCCAGTCTGGCTTTAGTGCCTCCCCAAATCCCAACCCAAGCACTGGGCTGGGAATTCTCTCAGAATATAGAAGCAATGAGTCCTCTTAGCCTGGGACACAGAGAGAAGGAAGAAGAACGCTTGGCAGTTGTTATGGATCCTGTGTACTCTAAAGTGTTATAACCATGTTGCCCATTCAGAGCCTCTGAGAACCAGCAGGATTCGAGCAGAGGAGAAGCCTCAAAGCTTGCCAGGCCCCCATGACAACAGTGCTCAGGTGTGGTCGCCTTCGCTACCATTGCGTCCGCCAGCCCCGTTCCAGAACCATTTGCTCTCTTCAAGACGATTGTAGACACCGTGTATCCCTTCTTTCCACTGAAATCAGACCTATACATCTACAAATTAAGCATATCAAAAGGAAAAGCCATTGTGTAGTGGCAAGGTCTGGTACTAAATAACTCTTGGAATTTGAGGTGTGTAGACCTGGCATGAAGGAGTTAGTGGGTCATTCTCTTTTTCACTATGTCAGCCTTAGAAGTAGAAATCACATTACTTCTGTCTCTCGCTTTTCACTGGGCAGCACTTTGTTCTTCCAATTCAGCCCAAAGGCTGGCCAAGTTGATGTTAAATTTTAATAAGAATGTCTTTCTCCTTTCCAAATGCCAGTCAAGCATATTTGTAATACATTTGGGCGGGGTAGCTTGTTCTTTTCCAGAAAACTCATCTAGATTTCTTGCAATGTTACAAATACTGTTGAAAAATTGCTGTAGTTCAGTAATTAGCTCACTACCCCACTTTGGGACCGTATAATCATGCCTAAAATGAAACCAAATACAATAAGAAAAGACATCATCCTTATGCTCATGTTCTGCCTGGTTCTGAAGGGGAGCTGTTTTATTTTTTAATTTTTAAAAATTTTAAGCTAATCAGAGAAGCCTACATAGATCCAGATCTTAACTAATGAAAGAAAAAAAACATACAGGTTCAAACATGTTACCAGTTGTGATGTATCTTACAACATTGATGGATGGCAATCATCTAAATAGATGGAAAGAAATAGGAATAGATATGTAAAAATGGGAAAAAACTCAAACAGCTTGATATTTGAGATAATTAGAAGGGAAAATAGTTTTAAATTTTTTAATTCAATGGTATAATTCAATGCTTGTTTTCTGTCACTTTAGAGAGGATGGTTCTCAGGATCACCGCGAGACTGGTAACTGACAGATGTGGAGTTGGCTCTTCCTAAGCACTTAGTTCATTTGGTTGCAGCTAAGTGATATTAATGCCAATACTACACAGGCCAGATTTTGACTCTAGAGTTTTAGTCCCAATGTGCCCATTAGATTTCACTAACTATAAATACTTTGAACTAGACAGGTTAAAAAAGCAAAGAATCAAAATCCCTAAAACCAGTTCATTGGTCTGTGGTGGATCATTTAAAATAGATCTCATCATAAAGCCAAGTGTTGGTTGGGTGGTTGTTGTTGTTGTTGTTGTTGTATTATCTCATTTCACCCTTGGCTCCACCTTAATCTAGAGTGAAAGGACATTTCCATCTCCCACCATCGTTTCATCTGTCACTTTCACAGGAACTCAGATGTTGAGGAAATGGACTTGTCTCCCAGAACTAGAAGGGCTTAGAAGTCAGACTTATCCCTTTCCCAGGCAGGACTTCTTGATCCAAAAAGACCACCCTTCCCTTCTCTTTAGAAATCTCTGAAGAAGATCCTAAGACTTCCCACTGTGGGTAACCACAATTCTCATAATTTATAAATTCTTCACGCACAGCCTATCTCCCTCCTATTGCAAGAATTGGACGCAACGTGCGGGTAAAGCATTCGTCCCATTTTCCGCATGTCGTGAGCACTCACTATATGGCAGCTTTCACTGTTATTTTTATTGTTAGCTATGCCCTTGACCAGAGAAAAATAGCCTCTAGCTAATCATACAAGATCTCTTTTTGTTTTTTAAAGACTGTTTCCAAGATTAAACCTATATAACCACTGTCACAACCAAAAGAGTTGGTGGATTCCAGGAGTTCTGCTATGAAAGGCAGTGGTGCAAGTAGTCAGAGCTTCCAGGCCCGTATGGTCAAGAGCAGTGAACTGGGAGGACAGGACCTGTAGCTGAATGGGTTGGGTGCCCTCCTTCCTGATTCAGCTACAGATGCAAACCTCCGGCTTTTTCATTGCTCTTGCTTTATTGGTTCTCAGTTAAGTGCATCCTTTTGTCAGAACTTTTCTTTGCAAATATTCACAGCAGAGTCCACCCTTGCCTACTGGAATAAATTTCACCATAAGCCCCAAGGCTGTCTACACAGGACACAATACAAATGATCAATTCAGTTGCAGAGGGAAAAAACCCCACGGACATTTAGCAACCTGCTTAATGCTAGTCCCTCAGTTTTCATCAGTTGTTCTGATTGTCAAATGCAGACATGTAGTTCACATGCAAATATGTGATATCAAGAATGCCTTGCCCTGGCCGGTTTGGCTCAGCGGTTGGAGCGTTGGCCTGCGGACCAGAGAGTCCCGGGTTCGGTTCCCGCTAGGGGCACGTACAAAAAAAAAAAAAAAAAAGAATGCCTCCCACACCCCAAAAATCTTCCCCACATCTGATGATTAAACATCTATGGCTCCTCTGCCTTTGCTTCTGTGTCTTAAATGTCCTTGACCTTTGTAAAAGTACTTGTGTTTAGTAGTGTCATGTGCTTAGCTGTGCTGACTGTGACCACTGTGTCAGGCACCTGACCATGGGGCTACCAGCCAGAATGTGCAAAGGGAGAGACTGCCTCAGCCTCCTTGTGCCCGAGCCTCCGGTTATCATTAATGTGAATGCCAAGACTCACCCATTTAGTGAGGAGGCCAAGGAATGGAAGAGCATTTCTTCTGACTTTGAGCAAGGTACTAATCATTAGACTCTCATTCACAGCAAGGAGATGTTGACCTGAGGCCAAGAGAAGCAGGGACAGAACTGTAGAAGCCTAGGACGCTGAAAATGGAAGGGCCTTTGAGCATCTCTAGTCCTAACTCTTGACATTACAAGTAAGAAATGGAGAAACAGAGAAGCAAAGTGATTTTCCCAAGATTGCATAAATAATCAGTGCAGAAATTATACCTCCTCATCTAGTGCTCCTTGGCCTTATTGGCATCAAATAAAGATGGGCTCAAAGGGAAAGTGGTTTTGGTCTGGGGTTCACAAGGCACAGAAGATGTTACAAAAGCTGTAAAGGAGGTAAAAGATCCCCCCAAGTTATCTATTTCTCAATGAAAAACAATAAAGGGAATTCTTACCTAGGTATACAATGTCCACTGATAACAACATACATTCTCTCCTGAAATGAGAGAAAATCCCTTGGTAAATTATGATTCTGGTAAATCACAATTTAGTTACTGATGGCTCACAGTCGATATCCGGAATCTTCTCCAATAATCTATTCACCTTAATAAAACTTTGTTTAGTGATATGTAGGTAATCTAAAAGTTGAACACCAAGAATGTTTATGTACTTCTCCATATGTATAATTTTCAGCTGGGATCCCTTGAGGTAAGAAATACTTATGTCAATGTCTTCCACATTGTAAGCAATTTCAACAGCAGACTTTGTATTACTTCATTTAGTTAAATATGCTAAGATGTACAAATAATAATGAATAACTTGGGCTGGGTCTTTATGTGAAAAATGACAGACTGAACAGTTTTCTATATAGTTCTAGATCCCTACACCTTTGTCCCCCCTAACTGTGTGAATGTGCCAGGCAAAGCCTCTACTTCCCCCCAAAGGTGCAGAACTGTTCTTTAGATTTCAAGGAGAGTTGGGGCTATGAGTATGTGGCTGGAAAACCCAGAAGGAGCATCACAAGTATTGGGGACTTAGAGCCCTGGGGTCACCTGATTGACCTGAGAACTGTGGCCCAATTAATCAAGGTCACAGGTGAGTTGACACCAAGGATCAAAATGATTAAATATGCCTCTCTCACACTCTGATTGCTTTGCCACAGAAAATTTTAGAATGTCATTATTGTATTATGCAGTATTTCTTAAAATGTCTTTTTACTGTAATGAATTATTGAAGATATATGTGTTTGAATAGATGTTTTTATCCTTAAGGATTGCTCATTCTTTTGCTGATTACAGGGGAATCACAGTAAAGAGTCTGTCGCAGGATAACTGACTCCAATTTAAGATCACAATGGGTTGTAGGGTTAGGACCTGGATTATGCTGCTGATCCACCAGCAAACAAAGCTGTATGACATGAGAAGCTCTTTAACACACAGTCTTGCTCCCCACCCTACGCTTTCGACTCAGTATCCTAGGATAAACCCAGCTTACAAATCCCAGGTGGTTCTGATGTGGCCAGCATTTGGGAACCAACAATACATAGCAAAGTATATATATCATTATCACCAAAGTAGCTGAATGCTTATCACTTCTCATGCGATTAGTAGCAGATCTGCTCCTTG